ATAATACGCTTCGTTTATTTAATACCAACATTTTCCATACGACTTGTTTAAAAAAAAAAAAAAAACAAGATCTAATTAAACAACCTCTGCCAATCTAATTTTATATTTTCATTCTACAACTTTTCGTTAAACGTTTGTTTTTTTTCTTTTCTTTCTATTAGAAATTCGAAATATATTAATGAATAATAATTTTTTTTTTGCAACCCAACAAGAGTTCTCTCTCTCTCTCTCTCTCTCTCTCTTTCTTTCTTTTTTTTTTTATCGTAAATCTAAGAATGCAGTTTACTTTCGTTTACTTTCACTCTTGCATATATATTTCCTGCATATTTTTCTATCCTTTTTTTTTTCACATTTTATTTATTTTCGCATGCTAACCAAATCAAATTTAAATAATAACACCCCCCCCCTCATCCTCTCCACAGTCTCACCCTTCCCCATTCAAACTGATCCAGGGCCCTATGGGACTCTACAAAAGACAATAACGTGTTCTACTGAACACCTGACCTACAACCACCCATGCCCTAACCTAATCATTCTATTAAAAATAGGCTAATAATATAAATGTTACAATGAAAGATCAAAATTGGAGAATGTCAAGATTCAAACATACCAAATACGTCAGTGAAAGATCGAATATTTGAGTTTATTATTACACATCAATTAATATTTCATACCTACATCAAGTAACCGCACGTGAATCTTGACATTCTTCAATATACCAGTCTTTCAAAAAGTAACATATATAAATAAATAAATAAATTGTCCCAATTAGAATCCTAAAAAGTATTACCTTCCTACCACGTGGACTTACTTTCTCCTAACCTAATCATTGTATTAAAAATAGGCTKATAATATATATGTTGCAGTGAAAGATCAAAATTGGAGAATGTCAAGATTCACAMATACCAAMTACATCRTTGAAAGACCGAATATTTCAGTTTATTCTCATACATCAATTAATATTTCATACCTACATCAAGTGACCACGTGAATCTTGACATTGTTCAATACCA